CCAATTTTAGCATATGTGCTGCTGAAGTGGGCATGATGTCCACATCTTTTTTTTTTTTTCTTTGGAGATGGAGTCTCGCTTTGTTGCTCAGGCTGGAGTGCAGTGGTGCGATCTCGGCTCACTGCAACCTTTGCCTCCTGGGTTTAAGCAATTCTCCTGCCTCAGCCTCCCGAATAACTAGGACTACAGGTGCATGCCGCCACACCCAGCTAATTTTTTTTTGTATTTTTAGTAGAGACCGGGTTTCGCCATGTTGCCCAGGCTGGTTTTGAACTCCTGAGCTCAGGCAATCCGCCCACCTCTTCCCCCCAAAGTGCTAGGATTACAGGCATGAGTCAACGCGCCCAGCTGATGTCCACACCTTAATCCCTAGAACCTGTGAATGTTACCTTATGTGGCAAAAGAGACTTTGCTGATGTGATTAAGGATGGGAGATGAGCCTAGATTATTTGGGTAGGGCCAGTGTCATCACAGGGTCCTTATAAGAGGAAGGCAGGAGGGTAAGAATCAGGAGATGCAACAATGAAGGCAGAGGTGTGGCACGGAGGGAGAGAGGAGAGAGAAGAGAAGAGAGAGGAGAGAACGCTCAACCTGACATCACTGATTTGGAAGATGGAGGAAGAACACAGCCCTGCCAACACCTTCATTTTTGCCCCAGTAAAACCCATTTTGGACTCCTAACCTCCAGAACGATAATAAATTAATGTTGCTTTAAACTGCTAAGTTTGTAGCAATTTGTCACAGCAGCCACAGGAGACTAACATGCTGGGGCAGTAAATACCTCTGCCTCTCTCTCTCCATCGGCTGAACCCAACTGGAAGCTGATGGGCACAGGAGCCCATAGTTCACGCAGGTCAGCCCCCTGGGCAGACAGCAGGGTGAGAAAGATGGAGAGTGTAGCTGAAACGATCAGAGGAAGTCATTTAGCTGAAAAACTATTACCCCATTTTACAGATGAGGGCACTGAGGCTAAGTCATTCAAACAAGATTGCACAGCTAATCAGTGCAGAGCTGGCAGTCATGAAGATTAGACAACACAGGGATTGTGAATCACTCATTGAGCAATTACCATGTGCAGAGTGTGGAGCAAAGCACTCTGTATTTCCCACAACCAACAGTTCTTACAAACGGAGTACTTTGGAGGAAGGTGCTATTGTTATTCTCAGTTGACAGATGAGGAAACTAGGTTTTTGTCACCTGCCCAAAGTCACACAGCTGGAGAGGCGCATGGCTGGGATCTGAACACAGATGTGTCTGATGCCAGAGTACATGGGCATAGCCATCAGGCCATGCTGCTTTCCAGTGTCAAGTGCGTGGTGCTGACCTGGAACCCTGTACGAGCTCAGTGGGCAAAAGGTCCTGGTCATCATGGTCTTGGGGAGGGTAAACAGGAGGCATCTGAGGACTTTCCTAGGCCTGTTGTTTCCCGTCTGGCCTTTCTTCTCCACGTTTCTTTTTTTTTTTGTCTTTATGCCATTTTGCCTTTCCTAGCACTGCCTTTTGGGTACCAGAGCTGTGGCTTCGTCTAAGAAAACCTCAGCAGCCTAGGATTTTGGCTCAACTAGATAAATCAGGGGTCCCCAATCCCGGGGCTGATGACTGGTACTAGACTGTGGCCTGTTAGGAACCAGGCGCACAGCAGGAGGTGAGCAGTGGGTGATCAAGCATTACCACCCGAGCTCCACCTCCCATCAGATTAGCTGCAGCAGTCGATTCTCCTGGGAGTGCGAACCCTATCGTGAACTGCACGTGCGAAGGATGATCTAGGTTGCATGCTCCTTACGAGAATCCAGTGCCTGATGATCTGAGGTGGAACAGTTTCATCCCGAAACCATCCCCACCCTGATCCGTGGAAAACCTGTCTTCCATGAAACCGGTTCCTGGTGCTAAAAAGGTTGGGGACCACCGTGTTAAATCACACAGCGGAGGAAGGGAGTGGACATGAAAGGTGGGAGGACCAAAACGGGCCCAAAGACTGGGGTCATGGGTTGGGTTAGTTGCCACTCAAGATCGATGGTCACTTCCAAGCCGCTCTGCTGTCAAGCAATGCCTGGGACATGTCTCAGCTTTCTGAACTTGAAAGATGGCTATTTTTACATAATGGAAAGCAGGAGACTTTAAACATTCTTTAGTCCATCTGCTTCAGTCCACATTCCCTTTGGGTCACCTTACAGAGCCACTGGCAATCGCTATGTCCTATAGGTGATACCTTGTCTGAGCCCTGCTCAGTCCTCTGAACTCCAAAGTCTACTCCCCAAGGCCTCTTCATTCCAACACCTGCCTGGAGGCCTTTCTCTGTGATACATTGCAAAGCATCATTGTCCTCACCACCCACTCCAGGGTCTGTGGCAGACATCACTAATCAATTATGGAGATCTTTCCTTCCGAGCCTCAGTCCCCTCTATAAAATTAGCTCCTGGAAGCCACAAATAGTCAAAACCTATTAGGGCTCTCCTTCCCTGGGAGAAGCAGGACCCAGAGCATGCTAACATGCTTTTTTTTCCCTCTCTCAGGTGAAATGTGGATGAAAATTGCATCAAGGGTAGCTGTAAACAACCTAACTTAGGAAAGGCACTTGGTAAGTAGAGGTGTGACAAGGTGATGATGACAAAGAGCCATGCTCAGCTTCATGGAATTAGAAGAGGTGGGTGACAGGAGCTACGAGCTCAGGCTCTCTTTATTTTATGTGCTGACATCAGTCCACCCTCATCCATTCTTTCCTCCTCAGAAGGCACTCTGAATCCTCTGTGTGATCCATGTGACTGGGGTTACCTGATGGTTGCAGCCAGTGCCTACCTTGGACTTGACGGCCAGGATGATCTTGGGCAGGGCCACGATGAGGCACTTGAGGGCGATGGTGATGTACTTTAGAACAAAGTCTGCGATCCCCACGATCCACAGCAGGTCAAAGAAGTCCAGTGTCTCCAGGTTGGGCTTCAGGAATATGAGGCTGGGGGAAGGATTCAGAGGGTCAGAAGGTTCCCTTAGGGCCAGGCCTCAGCAGCTCCTTCTACTCACTCAGGAGCCTTCTAAGTATCACCTGTAGAAAAAGCACTGAACTGGGAGTCAGACGTCTGTGTCCTTTTCCTGAAGTATCACCTATAGAAAGAGCACTGAACTGGGAGTCAGACGTCTGTGTTCTTTTCCTGAATCTGCTACTCACCTGCTGTGACCTCACGTGGATCTTTTAACCTCTCTGAGTCTTAGTTCCCTTGAGAGTTAAATGGCCATATTGGAGTTTCATTAAGGTCCCTGTTTTAGTCCTTTTTTGTGTGTTGCTATAACAGAATACCTTAGGCTGGGTAATTTGTAGAGGAAAGAGGTGGTTTTGTTTGTTTGTTTGTTTGTTTTTGAGATGGTGTCTTGCTCTGTCTCCCAGGCTGGATGGAGTGCAGTGGTGTGATCTCGGCTCACTGCAACCTCCATCTCCTGGGTTCAAGTGATTCTCCCGCCTCAGCCTCCCAAGTAGCTGGGACTACAGGCATCTGCCAACTCAGCTGACTAATTTTTTGTATTTTTAGTAGAGACGGGGTTTTGCCATGTTGGCCAGGCTGGTCTCAAACTCCTGACTTCAAGTGATCCCCCCACCTCAGCCTTCCAAAGTGCTGAGATACAGGCATGAGCCACTGCTGTCAGCCAGAGGAAAGAGTTTTATTTAGCCCAGGGTTCTACAGGCTGGGAAGTTCAAGGGCACGGCACTAGCTTCTGGTGAGGGTTATTTTTCTGGTGCATCATAACATGAAGGAGAAGGCCAAAGGGGAAGCAGACAAACCCCAGGGGCATCCTGGCTTTATAAGAACCCACCCTCACAGGAACTAATCCATTCCCATGAGACTAACCCAGTTTCACCAGAGCAAGAACTCACTCACTATCATGAAAATGGCACCAAACCACTCATGGAGGATCCATACCCGTGACCCAAACACCTTCCGCTAGGCCCCATCTCCCAACACCACTGGGGTCAAATTTCAACATGAGTTTTGGTGGGGACAAACCCAACCATAACAGTGCCCTCTAGTTTTGTGGGTCCACAACAGGCTTTATAAGAGGAGGCAAAAGGAAGGAAGGAAGGAAGGAGGGAAGAAAAGAAAGGAGGAGGAAGAGAGGGAGGGAAGGCAGGGAGAGGAAATTAGGAAGGCAGGCCAATACTATGAAGGAGGGAGGGAAACTGATGTGCCAGGAACTGTGCTAAGCTCTTTGCTCACTGATCCTCACGACTGTCCTGTGCAGTGAGTGTTGCTTATCTCCAGTTTATAAATAAGGCGCTGAGGCTTGGAGAGGTGACGTCAGCTGCCCAAAGTCACACTACATAAGCATAAAGGCGTTGGTATCAGACAGACTTGAACTGGAATCCAGGCTTCTCCATTTATTGGACCCTGGGCAAATAAAGTTATCTCTGTAAGCCTCAGTGTTCTCATGAATAAAATGGGAATTGTTCCCTGCCTTATGGTGTCATTGGCAGGATTTGATGAGATAATGGACAGATTACAGACCCTGCGGTGCAGCAGTGATGACGATAGTAATACTATGAGGCAGGTACTTTTATCCACCCCATTTTGCAGATGAGGAAACTGAGGCACAGAAAGGTAAAGTAATATGTGGAAGATCCTGAAAATATTAAGGGACAGAGGTGGCCTGGAATCCAGACATCCTGGCTGCAGTTAAAGTTCTCCATCCATACTCTACAGCTGGGTAGTGTAAACCTGTCCATGACCAGATAAGTGAAACCTCATGTTCAGTTTCTGAACTTAACTTGTTGGAGACAGACAACAAGCAGTTCTCAAACTGGCACTGGTGAACAGACCACACGTTGAGTGGCACTGCTCTCCAACACCCTCCAAGAGGGGAATGTTCTTTGTAATAGTGGCTAAAATATCCTGGCTTTAGATGTCATGCAGCCCTGCTCTGTGCATTTTACATATCTTAACTCATCTTGTCTTCCCAAAGACTCTATGAAGTAGGTACTGTGAATATCCCATTTTGAGGCTGGGCGCGGTGGCTCACGACTGTAATCCCAGCAGTTTGGGAGGCAGAGGCAGGCGGATCACTTGTCAGGAGTTCGAGACTGGCCAACATGGTGAAACCCTGTCTCTATTAAAAAAATAAAAATTAGCTGAGCATGGTGGTGCATGCCTGTAGTCTCAGCAACTCAGAAGGCTGAAGCAGAGGTTGCAGTGAGCCGAGATCATGCCACTGCACTCCAGCGTGGGCGATAGAGTGAGACTCCTTTTCAAAAAAACAAAAAAACAAAAAAACATATATATATATATATATATATCTATCCCATTTTGAGCTGAGGACACCAGGACACTAAGAGGTGGAGTCACCTTCCTGCAGCATCTCGGGTTGAATGTGGAGCTTAGATTGGAACCAGTACTCAACCCACGCTGGTCCCTCTCCTTTCTTCCCACCGGATTACAGGCTCTGGGCAAGGGCCAGACTGAATCCCATCAGCCTCCTCCAAAGCAGGGAGAAGTGCACTCAGCACAGAATGGATGCTTTCTATATGCTTTGGAAATACTCAGCTGGGCTGGCGGAAAAGGGTGCAAAATGAGGCCCCTATTCTAGCATCCTAAGAATGGGTTGGTCTGGGTTATTTTGAGGAGGGCAAAATTACTGACAAGTCACTCACAACACCTTCAGTGACCCTCCCACATCCCCACCCTGTCTCCATGGGATTTCTCGTCGCTCTTGTTGCCCAGGCTGGAGTGCAATGGTGCAATCTCGGCTCACTGCAACCTCCACCTCCCCAGTTCAAGCGATTTTCCTGCCTCAGCCTCCCAAGTAGCTGGGATTACAGGCATGCGCCACCACACCTGGCTAATTTTGTATTTTTAGTAGAGATGGGGTTTTACCATGTTGACCAGGCTGGTTCGAACTCCTGACCTCAGGTGATTCACCCACCTCAGCCTCCCAAAGTTCTGGGATACAGGTGTGAGCCACCGCGCCCAGCCTGTTGCTCCTCTCTTAAGCTTCTCTCTCTCTCTCTTCCTGTGCGCCAGTTTGACTCAGCCTGCTTTGATGGGGGCACAGAGGTCTGAGCCTGGGAATATGATCATACCCAGAAAATGGCATGAGCTGGAAATTCATCCAAGGTTCTGGGAAACTCCACCTCCTCCACCCTCCACCAGGACCTTGACATTCTAGACCATGCACTGAATGCAGGGTACGAGATCTGTGTTGACGCCTCGGAATTGCTCCTCAAATTGCTTTTATGGGTGGCCTCAGAAAGTGGCGAAACCACACAGTCCTCAAAGTTCATTTTCTAAACAGATGGATGTGATCTGAAAGCCCGATTTGAGTTTCAACCCTGTCCTAGAGGTCCTCTGGCCAACCCTACCCCCAACCATCCACAAAAGAATCTTCCCTCAATTCTGGCAGCTCTGATAGTTTCCACAAACAGCAGTCACGTTCTGATAACATTCACTTATGCAGTGATCTCCAAATACTTTTTAAAAAATGAAGCCAAATGTATTCCGATTACAGGATTATTTTTCTTTCCTAATTAATTCTTTGGTGTTAAAATAATCATTCTTTTATGAAATGATGTCAGGGGTAGATGATCTTTTTTTCTAATTGTGGTAAAACACACAGAACATTAAATGTACCGTCTTAACCATTTTTACGTGCACAGTTCAATGTTGCTAAGTACATTCACATTGTTGCATAATCATCACCACCATCTAACCAGACCTCTTTTCATCTTGCAAAACTGAGACTCTGTATTCATTAGCAGTAACTCCACATTCCCTTCTCCCCACAGTCCCTGGCAACTGCCATTCTCCTGTCTATAAATTTGACTACTTTAGGTACTTCATGCAATCATACACCTAATGTCCTTTTGTATCTGGCTTATTTCAATTCACAAAATGTCCTCATGTTGCAGCATGTGTCAGAATTTCCTTTCTATTTCAGGCTGAATAATATTCCACTGTATGCACATACCACAGGGTGTTTATCCATTCATCTGTCAATAGACACTGGGTCACTGGCTTGCTTCTACTTTTTGGCTATTACGTGATGATCATTTTAAAAATATGTTTTTAGTTGCAAAAAGCAAGCTGATATCTACGTGGTAACCCCCTGGACTTTGATGTGGGTCGCTTTACTAGTTTGTGAAATCTCTAAGTCTGGGACTTACACAATTTTGTGTCTGATGTAGAGATGTGATTTCCAGCACCCTTACAGCCTCTACAGATTCTTCCAAGTAGTTGCATTTAGGGCATCTGCTAAGCCTGTGACTCTATTCTGAGATGTGCTCACCACTGCCACCCTCAGGGAAAGCATCCACATCCCCACTGGACTCTGTGACTCAGCCCCCCTGGCGCATGAAAAGCCAATCAGAAGCGCGCTCTCTTTAATTTTAAAGGAGAAACAGAGACTGCCAGTGAACGGCTAAGTCATGCCAAGAACTGAACATCAAATTTCAGGAAGTCCCTGGTCCCTGCCCTTTCTCGGGCCTTGTTGTTTGGTTTTCCTAGGATTGTTTGAGTCCCTGCATGGAGCAATGCCTGGAAGAATTCCCTGTTTGCTTAAGCTGGTAACCCAAAGGGCCCTTAGTTGATATGTTTTCTTAATATAGTCCTAGGCACATACACAGGAAGTGTCAATAGATGCTACCTGCAGCTGGGCATGGTGGCTCCCAACACTTTGAGAGGCCGAGGCAGGCAGATCACCTGAGGTCAGGAGTTTGAGACCAGCCTGACCAACATGGTGAAACCCTGTCTCTATTAAAATTATAAAAAATTGGCCGGGCACGGTGGCTCACACCTATAATCCCAGCACTTTGGGAGGCCAAGGCGGGTCACAAGGTCAAGAGATCGAGACCATCCTGGCCAACTTGGTGAAACCTTGTCTCTACTAAAAATACAAAAATTAGCTGGGTGTGGTAGCATGTGTCTGTAGTCCTAGCTACCTGGGAGGCTGAGGCAGCAGAATCGCTTGAACCCA